GATAAGAGCTTTTAAGATCTATTCTCTTAGCACATTTCAGATATGTAACAGAGCATTATTAAATATAGCCACCATTTTATACATTATATCCCCTTGGCTTACTTATTTTATATCTGAATGTGTCTATTTTTTGACCATCTTTGCCCATTTTACCTACCTTTTACTTACTTCTTGCACCCACCAATCTGTTCTGTTTCCAGGGGTTTGTTTAGATTTCACATATAGGTGAGATCATACAGTATTTATCTTTCTCTAACTCATTTCACTTAGCATAATGCCCTCAAGGTTGATCCATGCCATTGAAAATGTCCCTTGATGGACCCCTAAGTTGTCCACATATCTTGACTGTAATGAATACTACTTCAGTGAATATGGGGGTATCTATATCACCTTCATGTTAGTGTTTTTATGTTTTTCTTCAGATAAATACCCAGAATCTTATAGCAGTGCTATTTTAGTATGGATCAATGAACATTGAAGAAAATAGTGCCCTGTTTACCAGGGTAGTAGTACAACGTTATATATATGGAAGATTCAGGAAACTACCACAAGTTTTTATATTAAAGATCACATTTGGGGAAAGTGATTTTCCTGATTCCTTCCCCGCTAAATAGCTCCATAGGAAAGTGATTAAGATCTTGAGGCCAGGGAACATATTCCCTAACTCCTCTTAACTGTAAAATTTCATGTGCCATTTATGAATGTTGAATTCAGGAATAAATATAGTAGCTCTTTTGCTTAAATGTCTTTAATCATTTGGCTAGTTTTTGTCTTCAGTGGGCACTTATAAAAAACCTTTTTCCAATTTTATATTGTGCTAAATGTAGTCAGGAATAAAGGGATTAGATATCACCATGACTGTCATTTTAAGTGTCAATGAGTATTGCTATTCAACAAGTCTGGTATGTGAATACTGTATTCAGTCTTAGGAAGAATTTCTAAGAAAGCAGGAAGAATTGACTCCTACCCTCACTAGTGTCATGAGTGTATGGTGTGGTCTTCCTAAACTAAATGCAGGCAAAAGAACTGCCTGGGGATGTGTTACATGGGAGGGGCGGGGTTGTGGGGACCACACCAACACAGGTGATCTGTAGTTCAAACAAAACAGAAGGTAGGAATGTTGTTGGCCAGCATGTGTGCCTTTTTTACATCTGGATTTGTAGAAGAGAACCTTAAATTGATTAAGAAGAGAGATCCAAGCCATGGCAGTAGTCAGTATAAAGAATTAGGGATCAAGTACTGTTTGTGGGGAGCAGCACAACCAGGGTAGTACAGAGAGGATTCTGTAGATGTTCTTGCCTGGCTCAGACATATCTCTGCAGTCTTTCATTGGGGAAACCACTCAGAACAGTGCTCACCACCCAGCTTGGTAAGAGGATAAGATGTTAGCTCTGGCAGGGCGTGGATGTTACCTGGGCCAAGTCTCTCATTTTGCAGATAAGAGAAATTGAGACCCAGAGATGATCCATGACCTGTTCTTATTAATAAAAGCAAAACAGGGGCCTCCCTGGTGGTACAAGGGGGTAAGCACCACACTATGAAGCAATCCGCAGCCTCTGCAGCACAAGTTTGATCCCTGGGCAGCTAGGGAGCAACCCACATGGTGCAGCAGACCTCTGCTGTCTCACCCACTGCTCCCCTCAGCAGTGTACTTCAATCAATCTGCCTGTTCTGTTCCCCACTCTGTCTCTGGTGAATCCTTACCCCCCACATCTCTGGCCTGTACCCCAGCTCTTATATGCATAAATGAGTAAATCTTTAAAAAAAACTTTATAAAAAATAAAAGCAAAACAAAAACAACCTTGGGGATTGTCAGACAAAGTTTGGGAGCCAGGCATCTTGAGACCATCTCCAGAGCATTTTCCATCCATGCTATAGTTGTGTTTTCCAGCTGACACTTGGGCTGCTGCCTAGCCCATTCTCATGCTCTATGAGCCTATAAAGCAGATGGGAGCTGCATGTAGCTTAGAGGAAGAAAACCAAAGAAAAATTGTTTCTACCAAATTACTCACAATGGATCAAATTTCGAGGTGTGCCAGCTTAGAGGCAGCTAATAGAGATGTACTCATAGCTTAGTTGGACCTTCCAAGTCAGTGAAGGGAAAAGCACACTAAGTCTGCGGTCAAATGATTGGTGTGAGATCCTAATTAAGGTGCCTTGTGTGAATCATTTAGTTACTCTAAAGTTTCTCATCAGTAAAATAATTTGGATAAACTTGGAATCCCTATGAAATAGTAATAATAATAAAATGGCTTTGAATTTATGCTGAAGCAGCTCCGATCTTGAATTCTTACCCAAGACAGCCAATTGCAGGCACAAGCTGATTTTCTCAGTCCTCTCTTGGCTGAATTGATGAGCTACATTAGCACTGGCACTGGAGCTTAACCATGTAGCATTATATTTTGTTGGGGCTTTTTAAATCCTTGATCTTTTAAGTGAAGATGTCACTGCCGTAATTTGCCTGTAAAATTATTGCAAGTTGGGAAAGGCAGGAAAAGAAGGTGCTCAGAGATTGCTGCTGGACCCACATTAGTTTTTTGCCAACTTATTCCATTCCCTTACTTATTTATGCATGTCTGCATTCGAGATCTTTTAATAAATATGTTTTCTTAATAAATATATTATTTCTTAAATATATGTGCTGGACCCACATTAGTTTTTTGCCAACTTATTCCATTCCCTTGTTTATTTATGCATGTCTGCATTTGAGAACTTTCAATAAATATGTTTTCTTAATAAATATGTATGAGGCACTTGGGGAGATACAAAGGAAAGTTCTGCCTTCAGGATGTTTATAGTCATGGTGAGCAAAGCCACTTACGTAAATAACTGTATCCACCATTCTTCAGACCTGACCAATGAAGAGGAGTGATGGGAAACTTATTTGAAAGCTTTAGAAGGCTTTCTTCAGGCAAGTGGAGTTTATGATAATGTAAGTGATGTTTACAAGATCCTTTGAACATCACAGGATTTAGATGAGAGAGTAAAGGGAAGGGAATCTTAAGGTGAAGGTATAGCATAGTAAAGACAGAGAGGCTGAGAGGTTGCAGAGGACCATAAGTTAGTTTCATTAGGACAATAAATTGGTAAACTTTTTTGTTAAAGAGCCAGATAGTAAATACAACTATTCAGCTCTGCTATATAGTGCCAAAAGTAGCCACAGACAATACATAAATAAGTGTGGTTATGTTCCAATGAAAACTTATTTATAAAAATGAGCAACGGTCTACATTTGGCCCTATGGCTGTAATTTGCTGATTCCCTGGGCTAAAGCCAGAGAACAGAAGAAGAGGGCTGGAAAGAGAGACTGGTCAGAATATCTAATATTTTTCATGAGCTATCCTAATTTTTTTTTTTTAGTGAATTGAAGTGATTTTTATAGTGGAGTTTAGTGATTTGATTTAGTGATTTTATTTTTTTAGTGATTTTTTGGAAATGATTTAGAAAGAATGTTTATATATGTTATTGAGGCAACCTTGGTTTACAACACCACACCCTATGTGATTGAGAATCATAGGGCCCCATCCTTATGATGTATGTTTACCACGCCGCACCCGCCACCAATGCATCCATAGTGCTAATTTTGACATTGTTCTTTGTTATCATCACCTTTTATTTTCCTTTTTAGAGTATATTTCTCAGATTTCCAATTTGTTGTCTTTTTTTTTCAACTTAAGAATTGCAGTAGTTCTTAAGATGTCCATAATATATGTAGTGTCTAATATCCCCACTAACATTTGAAAGGTGACTTATGCTGTGGACTTTGATGTATATAATTAATATGTGTCACTCTCAGATATCTTGGTGTCAGGGTAATCAACTGTCCTGGTTTGTCCAAGACTGGGGGGTTTTCCAGGATTTGAGGCGATGAGGGTTAAAAACAAGAACCTGTTGGCCAAACCAGAGTGGTTGCTCACACTAACTAGTGACATGGGCATCTCAAGTGGGAAGGAAATTCTAGACTGGTTATATGTCCAGGGAGAGTAGGGCCTTGCCAAGCTAGCAATCGTTTCACCAAAGTAACTTCTGTAAAGAGAACACAGACGAGCTCTGTAAAGTGGTTTTCAGTTTCCAAATCGAGTTAGTGGGACACCGTGCGTGCTGAGTGCATGTATCACTGAAATCTTTGAGAATCCCCAACCTGGCCCTGCCAGTCTTGGGAGATTCCAGGATTTAGACTAGCATAGCATTTCAACAAGTATATTTGTGAGGACTTAAATTCTTTAGGTCGTCACATGTATCAATAAGATGTAAATAGGTTGATCAACATGTATCCAGTGAAGTCTTCTGTTCTATATAATTGTTCATTTATTTGGGTTGCTGAAAAAACATGCATGTTTATATATTGACCTGCTTGAAAGTTTTAGAAAATCTTCTTTACTGATTTAGCTTTATTTGGATCTGGAGTTCCCTGCACAGCGTTCTTTCTTGTCATATTTATTTTTCCTTATAGTGGAAATCACTATTAGATTTTGGAAAAGAATGTGGTTAGAGGAAGTGGAGACACTAAGCACAATACTCAGAGGGTTCTGATATGAGCCTCCGAAATCACTTTTTCCATGGCCCTCAAAAACCTTAATTTTCAGTGATGGAAACTGATCTCGTGTTTGATGCTCCAGATTGAATTTAAGAGAGAAGGTATAGATGAAAATGAATTCAGTCCACCTCCTAGCCTGTCAACTCCCGCATCTAGTGCTTCATTCCCAATGTGACAAGCAGAGTAAACCTCTGCGCACTAGAGTCAGAGGCAATTCTGCTCCAGTGCATTCCATTTAAATACTGTTTTCTCCCCATTTTCAGCAGCTCCCTCTGTCAAAGCAGAAGTTTACACCTCGTACACCTGATTTGCCCCCCTGCCTGGGCAAGCAGCTCTTCAGCATTGCACAGTTTTTCTCAGAGCATCTTTATTCTCCTACACCCTTGCTTTGTACTCTTTTCTGAAGACCCAGTAAAGGAAGTCCTCATCTCTTGTCCATCTGACAGTGAACATATGTTTTTCTTCTTATCTATTCTGTTTCATCCCTTCTCTCCTACAACAGTGGGTAACAAAATATTATAGTATTAAGTTAAATAACCACAGGACATTCATTTTAGTATTGATTTCACCGTTACGCTATAGCATCTTCCATTTTATCATTCTTTTTTTAAGAATTTTTTTAAAGATTTATTTATTTATGCATACAAGAGCTGGGGCACAGGCCAGAGATGTGGGGTGGGGGTGAGAGGATTCACTAGAGACAGAGTGGGGAACAGAACAGGCAGACTGACTGAAATACACTGCTGAGGGGAGCAGCGGGCGGGACAGGAGATAACTGCTTTGCCATGTGGATTGCTCCCTGGTGGGCCGGGAATTGAACTGTGCTGCAGAGGCTGTGGATTGATTCATAGTGTGTTGCTTAATCCCTTGCGCCACCAGGGAGGCCCCCCTTTTGTCAAACATTGTTATTAACTAAAGTTCTGTCTCTTACCACACAGGACTTTGATATATAAAATAGAAACTGAGGTTTTCATGTTTGACATCTACTTTTTACTTTTGTGTGTTCCAGGATCCACACTTACCTCTTTACATAGATTATCTTATTTGATTTTCATAACAATTGCAAGTGTTGTATCTGGTTATAATCCTCACTTTATAGATGAGTAATTGGGATACACTTTGTTTCAATAAACTACCCAAGGTTATAAACCACAAAAAAGGTGAAGTCAGAATTTAAAACCAAACTTGCCTGTCCATGGTTGTATAGTATGTGGTCTCCCATTCTAAATGAAATTACTCTGGATCCTGAACATATTCCTCAGAGCCCTAGAGTAATTATTATGAGCATGTCTTTTCACCATAATATCTAAGATGAGATAAAAATATGATGAAAAAGGTCTCATCCTGAACTTAGTGTAGAGGAAACAGTTGTCTCAGTCACCCTAATGTGAGTTTCTAAAAGTGAATGGTAACTCATGAGTCTATCCTGATATCAATTAATGATTGAATAAATAAGAAAAGACAAATATTCCACAATTTGAAATGATATTTATAGATCCTCCCCTCTCTTAACCAGGTGAAACATAACTCTCTAGTCCTTAAATATGGGCTTCATATGGTGGCTTACTTCTAAAGACTAAAGTATATAAGGGAGAAAAATACTCTGTCTATACTAGAGAAAAAATGACAGATACTGTATCAGCCCAGTGATCAAGTTGAACATCAGCTGTGATAAGTTATACTGATAGTGTATATTCTTTATGGGGTATGGTGAAGACAGCTTACTAATGTGGACTTCCTTTCCCAAACCCATAAACCCAGTCTTATCAGACTGAGCTTGACAGACAAGGTCAGTTAAGGAAGATTCTACAAAGTACCTATTTCCCTAAACTGTCAAGGTCATCAAAAACAAGGAAAACCTGAGAATCTCAGAGCCATAAGGAGCCTAGGACATGAGGTTTAAAGTGGTATTCTGGAAGGATTCTGGATCAGAAAAAGAATATAAGGAAATTGGGATAATGTTTGTGCTTTATTTAAAAATAGTGTGTTATTATTGGTTCCTTAGTGGTGATAAACATACTAATGTGAAATGCTAGTTGGGCAACTAGTCGTGGGCATATGAGGAACTACCTGAACTCAGCTTACAACTTTTGTGTAGATCTAACACTATTCTAAAGTTAAAAGTTTATTTTTTTAAAAAAGTAAATAGCAGGGCCTCCCCTGGTGGCGCAGCAGTTGAGCACTGGGCTGTGAGGCAGCCCGCAGCCTCTGCAGCACCTGTTCATTCCCAGGCCACCAGCGAGGATTCCACCAAAAAAAAAAAAAAAAAAAAAAGTAAATAGCAAAGATAACCTGGAATGGCAGGTATGCATGCAAAAGGTAAGAACAAAACTTTTCTGTCTTTGTGAATAGAATGTTTCTGCTTCACAGATTCAGAAGCAATCTGCTATGTAAGCATAAAGCAAGGTCAAAGAAAAGAAGGTTATGAAATTATCCGACAAGGAGAGAGTGTGGTTTGTGGCAAAAATACTCGGACTGTGTGCCAATGATGGAGGTTGTGACAGTGCAGGCATAACGAGGACTTGGCAGGCATGTTCTCTTAATTGAAATGTCAGTTCTGTTGGGTACGATCTATGTAGGAGAGTTCAGGACAGAAAAAAAGATGGCATGGTGGCATCATACTTCTGAAATATTAATAGTGGCAATAAGCTTCAACTTGATAATGAAATATAATAATGCATTTAGGAGAGGCTGCAGAAAATGCAGGAGATAAAAGGCAATCCTGGTGAAGTTCTGTACATTGTAATATTGTTATGAGTCTCTTTGAAGCAAAACCTAACCTTTGTGTCAGAACATTGTTTTACCAAAAACATGTGATTTAACAAATCAAAAGTTCTTCTTTTGACAAGGCATTGATCCAGTTCAGAAGGGGAAAGATGTTCTCTAATTTTTTAGTAGTAAGGCTACTCATTTTCACAGGCAGGTTTTTTAATAATGAATGGACTATTCAGATTCACACAGTGATAAATTAGAAGAGCTTTTGAAAGGTCAAACAGTCTTCCCTTCTATTATCACCTTCCTCCACATATCAGCATATACTTTTCAGCATTAATTAATACTCATAATGGAAGAGCTGTTGAACGAGGCCAGGAGTTGGCTCTGGTGACCTACCATGGAGACCAACTGTGTCAATGGGTATATTGTATTCTAAATGTTTAAGCTACATTTAAAATTTTAAAATTTGTATCTTCCTCTAATTTTATTAGCATATGTGCATTGCAAACGTGGGAACTTTGGATTTAATGTGAGAGGTATTTATTGATATAGGTTGGGGAAAGAGAAAATGGAAATTATCTTTTATGGTCTTTTAGATATCAAGGTTCAGAGATAGAGAGAAAAATGTCTTTGTAACAAATAATGCCAAATGAGAAGCTAGCTTAAGGAGTAATGCAGATAAAAAGGTCTTCAAACATGCATGAAAAGAAGTGTATGTATATGCTTAAGGTTGAAAACAGTGGACTCTACTCTAAATGTTAGAACAAAGTTGATCCACAGAAATTAGGAGGGCAAAGCAAAGTGGAATAAAATATCATTTGAGGCAACCTGAAGAATCTGGAATAAAAAAAAAAAGAGTGGATATAAACAGAACTTTCTACATGATTGCTGCTACCACTCAAAACCATTCCTGATGGTCTCCCCAGTGGTGCAGCGGTTGAGCGCTGGCCTGAGAAACTGTCCACAGCATCTGCAGCACCGGTTCGATCCCCGGCTGCTGGGCAAAGGTCCCACATGGCGCGCAGACCTCTCCTGCCACGCCCGCTGCTCCCCTCAGCTGTGTATTTCTTCAGTCTGCCTCTTCTGTTCCCCACTCTGGCTCTGGTGAATTCTCTCACCTCCCACGCTTCTGACTATACCCAGTGCTTGTATAAATAAATAAATAATCTTAAAAAAAAAAAATTCCTCAGATCTAGACCTCCCAGGGATATACCTTAAAGGAAGGGGTAGGAGAAATACCACAGATTGATCTTAGTCAGAGAAAAATAGAGTAATAAAGAACAAGCAAATATATTTCAGTCATATAGTTAAGCTGTCTGTAAGGGGCTAAAAAAGGAAAATGTGGTTAACTCTCAGACCACAAGTCACAGTTAATTTTTTAAAAACTTTAGAAAAGGAAAAGCATTGAGCAAGATTCAGTGCTACTCTAGAAATACTTACCTGATTGCCTGCAGTTTTCTATAAATATTACTAATGCAATGAATAATCTTGGGTAAGCAACCCAAGAATCTTCTTGTAGAAGCCTCAACATGAGGGCAAACAGGACTTTTATGTAATGAACCTTCCTCCTGGGAAATTCCATCTTCTTTTTGTGTTGAGCTGTTTTAGTTCCTTTTAAGATCACGTCCCACTATCTCCCAGTCTTCATGCTTCAGCCCTAAGCTTTGAAACAAAAAAAATGTCGTCCTTATTTAGCTCAGCTACTAATATAATTTTTGACTTGAAATAGAGTAAAATTTAATTTTTCAGTCTTCATATATAGATGCAAGCTATGTGTACGGAACTAAGAAATGAATTAGAGAAAAAACTAAAACTAAGCAAAGGTATACTTATAGTTTTCACTAGCAACGATATGTTTAAGGAAAAGTTGGTATATTCACCAAAATTTTAAGAACATAATATTTATTTGCATTTGAGAGTTTAAATAGAGGAAGGTTATTTGTAATATCCTAGCTGAAGTTGAAAACATTATTACATGTCATGATTCAAGAGGAAATATCTTTTGGAAATCAACATTAAGAATAGTTTGGCACAGCAAGTTTATTCTAAAAGGGTGGAAATAATTGGATTTTCTAGAATTCAATGTCACAGATGTGAGTTGAGGTTTTGTAAAGTTTTCTGACCATTCCTGCTCAAGTAAGCACAGAATCAGTGTCTTCCTGCTGCAAACAGCTGGTAGGTCATCCTGAGAAATGATGGACAGAAGGCGGAGCACCCCACTTCTGTCTACCTTTCACCTCCTCTGTCCTGACCATAAGGTCCTTGACCTGACTGTGGTCAGGAATTTATGTAAAGGCATAAGCAGAAGGGACACAGTGACAAGGGGGCACAAAAAGCCTAGGTTTTGAAGCCCCCTGGGTGAGTTCAAGTTGGTTTGACCAACTGACACAGGAGAATGGGCCATGGGGTCAATGAACAACTGTCAGTCATGAGTTTCTGTTCAGTTAATATGTATTATGCACCTCCAAGAGACAGGCACTATGTTAATTTCTGCGAACATAACGATGAATGAGTGAGGAACCCGCCTCCATGGCTTCGTGGTGTGAGTACACACTCTGGGAAAGAAGCCAGCAGTGGTAAACAATAATGACAGTGTAAGGAGGGCAATTATAGAAGCTCAGAGGGGGTCTGAGAGAAGGGGAATGGAGGATTAACAGAAAGGATACTCTTTGCACTGGGTAAGGATGAATAGGAGTTTTCAAATGGACTGAATAAGAAAGCCATTTCAGAGGAAAAAAATATATGCAAAAGCATGTCACAGCAACACATACATATAACAAAGACATGGGGATATGAGTTACACAGTGCCACCTGACATCCCTGGGGCCAGCTAGCAGAGCAGTAAGGAACACGGGGCTTGGAAGAAATAATTCTCCGCTGAATTTCCTCTCCCCACTCACTGCTACATCTGACACTTATTTTCTAAATTTCAGGGTTTTTTTTTTTTTTAACCTATAAAACAAGGTAATAAGTGAGGCTGGTCAAAAGATTGTTGTAGTACATGAGGTGTTCGGTAAGTCTTATTAAAGTAAGCTGCTACTTTTATCAGGAGTAGTTGGGCATTTATTATACACAAAGTATAACTGACTTCAAGTAAATGGAAATATCAAAGATATAAACTAAAACAAGGATGATGATTGAGTACTGCAGGAACCAGCTGAATGCCCTAAGAATTTGGATTAATGAGATTATGTCCATTTTGAGAGGGCTGGTTTTAGTGATGTGCTATAACATATAGGTTTCCTATCTATCCTCATTAACGATTTAATCAGCCTGGATGAATGCTCATGAAATTTGTGGATGACATGAAGCCAGAGAGACTGTTATGACTTGGGGTGATATTTTCCAGTTTCGAACTAATGTTGATGGACTAGCTGAAACAATTGTTTAAATTTGACTATGTAAAATTAAATGTTTAATGTGAATAAAATAAGAAGTCCTGACTATGAGCGTTTGTGACCAATCACAAAAGGGTCAGTGACAGAATGAAAGAAATGTCTATGTTGTCAGAATCATATGTGAAAAAATAAATAATTGGGGGCCTTAGTAGATGCCACGCTGGATGTCAGCCAACAGTAACAGAGCTAATATGATTTATGCTTGTAAATAGCGTGAAGTGTGCCAACAGTGGTAGAGGTAGTGCTCTCCCATATCTCTATTTAGATCAGAACTCGGATCTCCTCCACCAAGATCCAAGAAAAATTTATAGACAAATGAAACCACAGTATCAGTATTACTGTCAGAGTCATTTTATTTGTGAAATGTAGATAAATTCTGAGATGTAAGGGAGACATTGGGTCATCAAGAATAGGAATTAAATAATTAAGGTAGAATCTGAGGGTTGACCTAGAAATGAAAGATAAAAGGTATAAAGTGTTGCATTCAAAAGATGGAAGGTGGTAAGTTGCTACCAATAAATCTTTCCACTTGTGGTCTAGTGGCACCAAGTAAAGACTTTAGAGAAGAAACTATTGTCAGGTATGTGTTGGGCTCGATGGCTTTGTTAGTGTCTTCCAAAACTGAAAATTTCTAATCCTGTGGATTAGGAAGTGATGGACATATGTATTTCTTTTGTAATGCCCACAGAACCTTATACACTGAAGGAAGAATGAGCTAGATAATCTGTTTTCTTCTCATGTGCATTGTCTATATTTCTATAGTAACAAAGAATACAGTGAAAGCTGTTGACATAATTTTTTGATACTGGTTATTAGTGATGCACTAAAGAAGCAGACATATTTAAGGTTGCTTTTAAGTAGAGACTTTAGTTTGGTAATTTGACTCTAAGGATACTTTGATTTTTGAAAAATCTGTTATTTAATTATTTCAAACTTAAGGGTAGCATCTGGCTTTGATTCATTTAACCTTAATGGAAAAGAACAAGTCATTATTTAAATAATGTCTTATAGCTTGTATTATTCCTAGTATTTTTAGAAATCATTTATTCCTCTTCAAATTGATCATTAATAATTCTTGATGTCTCTGGAGTCATCCCATTACCCACAGTCATTATGCATCGTTCTGTGAATGTTTGCTATGATATTGTTGTATCTATAGCTTTTTGAGTCATTACACCCTGTGGTGTGTATCCTTTAAGTGAAGACTATCCAATTTATTCTGAATTAAATTTCATTGAAATATTTTTGAGTTACTTTGGAAGCCACTTCAGAGTTCAGGAAGAATACAGATAAAACCTCTAAGTGTCAACTCCTAGACATCTTGCTTCGAAATCTCAAACTTAAGTGTAGAAATTCATATTTGTTGCTGGACTAGTGAGCTAGAAAAGATGTTAATATTGCCTTGGGTCTAAAATTGTACAAGAAAGCAACTTTTCATAAAATCATCATCACAGTTATTTTACCCACTTAACGGTTGTTTGTACCACATCGACTCCATTATGAATGGCCTCAATAGCTTCTATTGAAAAGTCTTAGAGATAGAAAGGAAAATGATTTCCTTTTGATAATGGAATCCTGCCTATTTGTTAAAACAGGCAGATTGGCAGCCCATCATAGGGTGAAATGTTTAGCATGGTAAGGATAAACTTTTTGAAGTTAGAATCAATATAAACTTTAAAATCCATTGTTATTTTCATTGAATATCCTTTCCTCAGAGGTTATATCAGTCTAATAATGAACTAAGTGCTTTCAAACATTTATAAATTATCTCCCTTATTTCTTAGAAGAGACCAGGTATTAACTTTCCTTCAGTGTATAAAGCTATGTTCGTGTACTGATATCTTGCATTACAAAATGTTGTTTATTTACAAAAGGGTGAAACTTGGGTTTTTTTTTAATGTGAGCCCACATTATGCACTAAAACATCCATTTAGATTATCCAGACCTTCAAGAATAAATCTATTGCGTAAAGTAACATATACTTAAATTACCTTATTTGTGAATTTCCAGTAGGTGATTGACATAAGCCTGGCTGAAAGCCAGCAGTGTGAAAATCATTCATTTCTGATTCTTGATATTATTGTACAATACTACATCTGTTTACATAAGAGTACTTATAACTAATTACTTTGTCATATTAATATTGATATAATGCTTAAAAACAGAAACTTTTTAAAATATTTGTTTATTTATTTATGCAAGCACTGGGTACAGTCAGAAGTGTGGGAGGGTTAGAGAATTCACCAGAGTCAGAGGGGAGAGCAGAGCAGGCAGACTGATGAAATACATTGCTGAGGGGAGCAGCGGGCGGCAGGAGAGGTCTGCATGCCTGCATGCCATGTGGAACCCTCACCCGTTGATCGGGGATTGAAATGGTGCTGCAGAGGCTGCCGGCAGCTTTGCAACCCAGCGCTCAACTGCTGCGCCACTGGGGAGGCCCAAAACAGAAACTTTTTTGAAAGATTTATTTCTTTATGCATGCAAAAGCTTGGGTACAAGCTGGAGGTGTGGGCAGTGAGAGGATTTACCAGAGACAGAGGAGCAGAACAGGCAGCTCTACTGAAATACACTGCTGAGGGGAGCAGCAGACTAGACAGAAGAGTTCTGTTGCACCATGTGGGTTACCTTCCTGGCTGGGGATTGGACTCATGCTGCAGAGGCTGCAGATAGCTTCATAGTTCTGAGCCTTACCCCCTTGTGCCACCAGAGAGGCCCCAAAAACAGAAACTTTAGTACATATTCCTCAATTACATAGAAACTCTTGAAATACTTTTAAGTGAAATGAATACATTTATTTAACAAATATTTGTTAAATGTATATGATTAGCTTGGCAATGTTAAAGCAACAATTAAAAACTTAAAAGCTATAGAAAAATATAAAAATAAGATTGCAGTGGTTATCATTATTAAATGATAATATTGATAGGTTTTTAAAATAATGCTTATATATTTCTTTGCAAGAGAAAACAGTAGTAATGACAGATTTTTTAAAGTTTTAAAAAATAAATTCCCCATATGCCTCCACATAAGGACAGTAATTTTGTTTACTTTCTGCTGAATTCAACTTCAGATGCATCTATGGATTCAGTTTTTGCTTTTTTGATATAGAATTGTGAGGCTATTATGTATAAACTTTATGTTTTAATGTTTTTAGAATTTTAACTACTAACTTTCTTATACCATGTTACAATATGTTATAATATTTTGTGATTATTCTAATTATCACACATATTTGACTATTATTAGACATTTGACTTTGTAGCA